ATTTATCTAGAACAAATTTTTTTTTTATTATTATTTCATTTAGATCATCACCTCTCCCAAAGTCCCAAATTACTTTCGATTCTCTACCTGACAACTTTTGCACTTCTTTAACACTACTTGGTAACACTATAAAATTGCCGAACAAAGGAAAAAATGAAAGGAAAATCATTATTTAACTGAAAACCCATGAAATGGTAGGATGACAAAATGAGTGGAGTATTAACTACAGTATATGCATTTAAAATAATATTTTCATGACAAGTATGAGCCAGGGTTTTGTTGTATATTTCCTGATTTGATTAATAGATTCCACTTGGACCTATCACAGCTGGTAAAATACATAATCGAGGAAACAAAAATAGAAGTCACTACCAAGAACAAAAAGGGTTTTGCAGCGGTTGACCTTGTTCACAAGGACGACGAAAATTTCCTTGAGCTATCTACCTTTCTGATGTGTATTCGGGAGATAGTAATTCAACACCCCTCAAGTCGTAGAGAAATGGGAAGTTTTGAAGTCCAAGTAGTCGACGAATTAGAGAGGCAGAAGGAGATTCTAAGAGTTCAAAGTAGAGATAATCCAAAGAAACCATTTGAGATGCAATTGGAGGCTATGCAAAGCGCTAGGAATACACTCACCATTGTCGGGGTGTTGATTGCATCGGTTACTTTTACATGCGGTATAAACCCACCTGGTGGGGTCCATCAAAGTGGAGACTCCATAGGGAAATCAACCGTTGCAAGAACCTTAGCTTTCATAATCTTCTCGATAAGCAATACCATCGCGTTGTTTACATCGGTGTGTATGGTCATTCTTCTCCTCAGCATTATAGCTTACAGGGAGGAATCACTCATGAAATTCTTGGTCATAGCTCATTGTATGATGTGGGTGGCTGTCTCAGCCATGGGAAGTGCTTATGTCTCCGCGGCATCGGTAACTTTGCCACATTGTGGAAAAACCATATGGTTACTCTGTGCCATTATTGCTATCGCGATCTTGACGCTAGGCGGTATGTTTGTTTATCTACGGTTTAAGCTGGATAAATGCATTTTAAGGAAGGATAAATTTCTTCAGTGCTTGTCTTCCCAACCAGTACGCAAGAATGGGTCCGTAGAGATGGCAGCCAATTTCATTAAAGGCTATTACAATTATAATTGAAAATCATATTTAAGAGGCTATCCCTATATATTTTTGTAAGTGACTTACTTTATCATAAATAAATTACTAGATTATTAGTAGAATAAAAGAAAACATATAAATTTAAGGATTAATAGTTTTGTGGAAAAAAACAAGTATTGTGAGTTCAGTCTTTGCAAAAAAAACTTTTAAGAGTGAGAAAGACTTACATGGTCTAGATCCTTATCAATGACCAGGTTGGGAGTTATAGGGAGTATGTTGTAGTCATAGTTGTATGTCCAATCAACGAACTGCTTCTTGTACCAGGTACCGTTGTTACACTACCTAATTCCAAGGAGCTCGAGTGGCAAGTAGCTTTATCCACCGAGTTTATCACACTTGTAGGATTGGAGCCGATATTCTTAGAGTCTGTCCAAAGACACTGTTAGGCAAAGCAGTGGCGCTAAATGATTTGCTTAATATAAATATATGCGATGTTACAAGTTTCACATAAGCAATTCCATGTTTAAACATAGAATTCCATGTCCATGCACTTGTTTTTATTAGACCAAATGGTTACCTACTTAATCTATGAGATTATCTACACTTAATTTCTTTTTATAATCCACGTCAACAAATTTCAAATCATTTTGTGATCTCTACACAATTTCTTTTTCCACAACTTCTCAAGAACGGTATCATCATACTAGATCAGACCCACGGAATATAGGAAGGGCGGTTTTGAGGGGGTGCAGCATGTGCAACTGCACAGGGCCCACCGATTTTTTTTACTTTTTCTTCTGTATTTTAGGACCCAAATTTTTAAAAACATTGCAAAAAGGGCCCAAAAACTTTTTCTATAAAATATACACCTCATACTGATTATAAAATAAACAAATTTAGCACATGGCCCACAAGTTTAATGGGCCGTCCCTGAATATAGGGTAAAATTTATTTTTCGTAAACATTTAGAGTGTGAACAGATTATATATATGTGATAGATTAGTGAAAGTTTCTATAAACTAATATATAGTTTAGTCTTAAGAGTGTCTGACAAAATCTTCAAGTTTGTTTTAAGTTTTTTCAACTAGTTGACGTAAGAGCGGAAGAACTAATTAAACTTCTCCATATATCCATTAAAATTGGAACTACGACTTAACTTCTGCAAATTCTTCTAGTTTAGTTTGCTATTTCTTTGTGAAAAATAACTTA